CCCCAAAACCCCAAAACCCCAAAACCCCAAAACCCCAAAACCCCAAAACCCCAAGTGGCAAATACCAAGTTGAAAAACAATTGTTCATCGATCCTTCAAAATTAAAGACAAATTTTCTAAAATAGTATAAATTTAGTGCTAAACTCTAACTAAAAGTGGTGACTTAGCTCTTTACTACAAAATTGCGAACCCTAAAATCTATGCAAATGGCCTGGTAGAGTACCATGGAAACTTTAGTTTATTAACTCAGCGTATTATGATAAAGGGTGAACTTCTCAGTTAATAGCGATGTATGGAGATTAGAAAAGTTGCTGATATGAGTTGGCAATCTTTCCTGATATCTCTCCATACAAGCTTTGGGTATATAATGCTTACATGTAATAGCCCCTCTTCATTGTGTCCCTGAGGTCTTCTCTTATCTTCATTTTCATCATCCCGATCTTATGAACTGGAGGTTTTGCTTTCTTAGGTGCCTAGATTTTGTTAGAACGAGCCAAGTAGATGCAAATAAATAGAAAATAGCTGAATTGAAAGGAATTTGAGCATTACAGGTTCTTGAGGGCTATATTCTGAGTAAATAAAGGTCTGATCCTGATAGAACTTCTCTTCATCATCATCAGTGATCTGATCAGTTTTTGGTCTTGCCTGGGTCTTTAAAGGCTGTTCTTTGTTTATCATGAGTTTAGATTCTTCAATATCAGCTTTACTGGGTTTAGAAGAAGGTGTTGTAAAGGCAGCATTCTCAGATCCTTTAGGAAGCTCAGTAGATTTCTTAGGAGCTGAACTATGCACTTCCACTGATTGATCTTGGCTATGAGAATCAATACTCAGATTTGCTAAAAATGCTTGAGCATCAACTTTTAATTGCTTCTCCTCTGGGTTTGCACTAGGTTTTCTAGGAGCTTCTTTGGTTTTCTTCTGCTTTTCTTTATTCTTATTTTCAATTTCTAGGTTATGAGCTGTTACTGCAGCCTGAATTGCATCTAAGTGACTCTGCTGGGTACTGGCTGGTTTAGGGTCATTAGATTTTACTGGTTGATTAGATTTCTTATTTTCTTTAGCCATTCTAGTACGATGACAAATAGTGTAATCAGCATTCTTTTCTTCCATTTCATTGTGGTATGCATTCATATATTTCAATGCAGCCTTAACCTGTTCTTTTTGAGATATATTCCGCTCTCTCTGCTCAAAGAAGTTTACTTCGTCCTTTATTTCTTCACCTTTACTCTTTGCTAGCTGATCTTTATTTGAAGTCTTTACTTCTTGTTGAGCAATGTTTTCTTTCCTTTCATCAGTCTGATTTTTCTTTGTCTCTTCTTCTACTGATTCCTTTCTCTGCTCTTGATCAGGTCTCTTCTCATTGTCTTTAACATCCTTTTTCTTAGGAGCATGTTCATAAGCATTCCAGTACTTAAGTTGTTGTTTAATCTTCTCTTTCTCGCTTAACTCTTTGTTTGCTTCAGTATCTATATTCTTTACTTCCTCCTTAGGTTTGGCTGGTTCTTCATAAGCATTCCAGTATTTAAGAGCTTTCTTGATTTCATCTTTGGATTTCTGTTGCAATCTTTCGTCTATTCCAGCCTCTGGATCTTTCTTAACTGAAATGATCTCTTGGGTCGAGGTCTCTTCTTTGTCCTGTTCAAGCTCCAGCTGTGCCTGCTCTTGGAGCTCTCTTTTCACTTCTTCTTTCAGCTCTTTATTAAATTCATTATCTGCTTCTTGAGCTCCTTCTCCTTCATTAACTTCTTTTAATATTTCTTGTTTGATCTTTTCTTGTATTTGCTTTTTGATCATCTCTTGAGCTTTGCTTACTATCTCTTCCTTATTACCCTAGATCAGAATTTAATGAGCTCAGTTGAATATCCAAACCTCCATCCTAACTTACTAAACTAGATCTTAGATAAGCTTCAAAACCAAATAATCAAAGATAAGTATCCAAACATTACACCAGTATAAAATACTCTTAAACTAAACTAAAACCACTACACTATTTCCAAAACTCAACACCATCCCTACTAACTTCCCTCACACACCAAAAACTTCACATCTTAAGCACTATCCATCCCTCATTCCAACCCTCACCACCCAGCCCTCCCAACCCCTCTCTTCCTCCTAAATACTCTATTCGTACAAGTTTAGGAAATTTGAACTGTGAAATTTTAGAAGGGAAGGAAAGCAGGGAAGGGGGTGGAGGATGAAGGGGTGGGGAAGTAGGGAGTTTTAGGGGGTTACTTACGGGATTGTCTGTTTTGGAATCTTCGGTGTTTGTGTGTTTAATAGAGGATTTGGAATTTTGGTCTTTTTGTGGGGTTTCTTTGGTTTTCTGAGTGTCTTTATTCGTTTTATTGATTTCTTCAGAACCATTCTTATTATTAGACTCTAGGTTTGCTCTAGTTTCTTCATCTAAATCGTTTTGATCAGCATCTTTATCTTTGTTTGCATTATCAACATCAAGAGGAGAATCTTCTTGTTCACCGCTAGGGTCTTTAAGTTGATTTTCAATGCTTGAAACTTCCAGTTTCTGTTCTTCAGCTTTTTGGATATCTGCGTCTTGAGGTACTTCTTCAGGCTCATTCTTCTCCTCCTCCTCAGTCTCTTTGATTTCCTCTTTATTTACTCCAGGGGATTCCTGATGTAATTCTTCCAGTAAAGAAGCATCTTGAGGGGTTTGCGATTTGTTTGCTTCATCTTCCTTAATCTCTTTGTCTTTATTAGGCGACAGAGTAGAAGGAGCATTGTTATCAGCCTTTTCATTTTCTGGGTGTTGAGCAGAAACTTCTACTTCTTGACGAAGATCTTGAGAAGTTATATCTTTCTTTTCTTCAGTAGAAATTTCACCAGCAACTTGATTGTTCAAAATTAGAGGGGTGGTTTGTGGATTTAAAACAGCGGTTTGAGATGGATTATTAGGTGCTACTACAGAAGTTTGCGGTAGGTTAGAGGGAGAATCTATAGCAACTTGTTCTTTATTAATATCATCTAATGAAGCAGTCTGTTCCTGAATATCAGCAGAATCTTTCTGCTCTTCAGGTTGCTGGTTCTCTTCCTCAAGAACTTCCTCCTGTTTCTCAGATTCTTCCTTCTCTTTCTCAGGGTCTTCTTTCTGCTCTTCAGGTTGCTGGTTCTCTTCCTCAAGAACTTCCTCCTGTTTCTCAGATTCTTCCTTCTCTTTCTCAGGGTCTTCTTTGGTGTTATTTTGTTCTTTTTTTACATTATTATCCCTATCCTCCACTTTCTTATCACTTTTATTTATCTCATTCTCTCTATTTTTGATAGCTCCTTCTTCTATTTTCTCAACATCTTCAACATTATCCTTCTGTATTTTCCCTGATTCTCCCTTTACTGGTTCTTCATTCTCAGTCTTCTTCTTACTCTCTTCATCCTGTTTACCTACTTCCCCTAATTCCTTTTGATCTTGTTGCTTCTCTCCTTCTTCACTCTTCTTCTGATCATCTTTAGCTGACTCGTTTAAACGTTTTTCTGGGCTTTCATTGTTTTGAGAAATAGGCGTTTCAGATCCTTCTGCTTTTTCAACTTGTTCTGATTCTTCTTGACCTGACTTATCTGGGGTAGGCTTTTCTTGAGTCTGCTCTTTAGACTCTTCTTTAGATTCCTCTTGAGGGTCTTCTGAACCTTGCACAGTATCCTTCTTTCCGTCTTCTTCAACATCAGGTTTGACTTCATTCTTATTTTCTTCTTCAACTTTTACAGCTTCTTTCTGCTCTTCCTGTATTTTTAGTTTTGTTTCCTCCTCTTTGTTATCCTCAATGTCTTGTTTAGGCTCTAAATCAGCTTTAGGCTGCCTTCTGAATAACTTACCTTCCTCTTGGTCTGTATTCCCTGTTTTGGTTTCAAGGTCAGGGAAAGCTTTTCCCATAGCTTGTGTCTTAGTGAGGTCATCAACTTCTGTCTTAGTCTCTTCTGTTGTTTCAGATTGCTCTATCTCAGGCTCACTATATTTCTCAGGGAAGACATCAATTTCGTATGGGAGAATGAAGTTATGATCCTTCCTTTCAATCATGAATCTGTAGACAAGGTTCCAGAATAACTTGAGGTTTTCCTTCCTCATCTTAATGATATCAAGCATAATGATATCCTTGAGTAACTCATTATCTTGGTACTGATTGGTGAGGTTTGCAAATTTTCTCTTAGTGTCTGAAAGTCCAGTCTCTTTTAGAGAAACACTGTCTTGATTGATAAAATCCTGAATTTTTGCAAGCAAAGTAAAAGGGCCTACATAAGCAACCGAGTGGAGTTGCTCCTTCTCCTTCTTCATATTCGTCTGGCTCTGTCTCCATACCTCTAAGGTAATTTGGAATGTATTTCTTTTACAAAAGGGGCAATGCTGATAGCCTACTGCAGAGTTATTATGAAGTTCAGTATCTTTTAGAATAATATACTCCTTAATTTGCTTATCTTTCAGAGATCCTTTACAAGTATCACATTTGCTAGTCGGTAAAATGAAATAATTGAATTCATCTTCAGTTTTTTCCACTTCAAAGGTCCTTTTCTTCAATTCTACTTGCTTATCATTGAGTATAAATTGAGTATTTTGGTTCTCATCATCTGAGGTACTCTTTATGTGCACCCCATTCATTTTGATGAATCTAATTCACTTGTTCCTTTGGATAAAGACATCAACTGGATTGTCTGGCTTTTCACCCCAAGCACTATTATGCTTAACTAGTGGATTATTCATAATTCCTTCGTACATTGGATTCTCATGTACCGCTAAAACTTGACCTTTCAAATGCAGATATCTAGCCTTTAAGGCTTTGTTCTTTCGAGAGAATGCATGAAGGTTCAGCTCACTAGCAAATGCAACTATTGATCCATATATCTTAATGTTGCTCATCTTTTTCTCTTGTTCATGTTTGTGTCCAGAGATATGAGAATCATTTTCTTTATTCTCTTCATCTTCATCGTAAGCTCATGATACAAAATCATAACTATTTCCTAAGTCTAGGTACTTATAAGACATTGCAAGGACATTCTGAGATTGCCAATCGACTTTGAACTTGTGGTATGAACTTATATTTTTAATAAAGTATTTCAAATTCTCTGAAATAGTTTTGTAATCTCCAAACATTCTGATAACTTCAATGGCATATTTCAAAATATGCTTCCTTTGATCTCGATGAAGTCTTGGGATAGATTTCAAAAGATAGTTCACCAAAGCAGTCGTTTGCACTATCTTCTCGTTGTTCTGGTGATACCAATATGAGGAAATGCAGCATGCTGTCCAAATCACCACTGTAATGTTGTCCTTCGTGTAAGGAACTTTGCAAGAAAGGGACCTAAAATAAAATTAAAAACGCGAAAATATAATTAAATTAGCATTAAAATTTTGGGAAATCTTACTTTTTCTTCTTCTTTCTTACTGCTTCCTTAGAATTCTCTGGCCATTCAAGATCAGTGAGTGCTTCGTCTTTCAAAAGATATTTGTCCATAAGTTTTGGGAAGAACCTGTACTTATAGTATTCTGTTCCTTGGTAACTTCCAAAAATCAATGGGTCCATAATCTCATCTTCTTCATAGCTTGATTTTAAGTCCTCATATTTCATTGGCTTTGGATTTGGGAATGATTCATCCTTAGCATCAAAATCCCATAAGAACTTAGCCTTCTTAGAACTATGTAACAGCATCAAGTACTCTTTCATTAGAACATGATCATGATTGAGTGTTTTATTTTGGATTAGGGCTTATATACTCAATCAGTCCATGGTAGGTTTCTGTCTTGAATAGTGGCGCAATAAAATCTTTATATTTCCTCATCTTGCTACCTCTCTTTGGGTCTAAATCATCTAAATTATGAGTACTTACTTCTAACCATTTTTAACTCATTTGCGTAATCTTCTACATTTTGTATGTTTTTGATATCCAAAATTCTGAAGATGAAGAAATCAATATAGTGAGTTCACACAAACTTATATAACTCTTTCTTCAATTGGTTGAATTCTGAAGATGTATCCTCAATTTCCTTCTTTGCAACGGAGGATCTTAATCTTGAACTTTTACTAGCACTAGCAGTTAATGCAACTTTGTAATTTTGGAATGCTTCTTTAAATACCTTCAACTTTTTATCCAAATTTTTCTGTAGAATTTTTACCAACTCTTCTGGGAAATCCACAGATTTTCTTGGAGCTAGAGGCTGACTTGGAGTATTTTCTACTATTCTTGATGCCCTTCTCTGAACCATAAACTCTTCATTCTCTCAATCAAAAATTTCGTAGGGTTGCTGTCCAAGCCCCTCCACAACTTGTCGATAGATAGCACGATCCATCCCAATGATAAATGGCTCAGAAGACGTCAGTAGTTTTGGATGTGGCTTTGTTTCAGAAGGTAATACTAATCCTTGGTACTCAAAAGGAAACATTAGAGTCTTTAGGACTTCAATTACTGCCACTCTCAGATATCCTTCATCTGCAACAACTATCAAAGGGACTCCGAATATCATTTTTTCCAATAATTTTGGGACATGCTTGTATATTTTGGTCGTAATAAAAACATTGAAGAAGAAGTCACTCTTTAAATCATAAAAATCAACTTCCTCCATTTTCCAAAATGGACAACTCAGTTTGTTAAATGGGAAAATATTTCTTGACTCAAACACGAGATTTTTAATCATATTTTCAAGTGGAACTCTGTCTAATCTCTTCGATCGTTCCAAAATATTCCTCAAAAAGTTTGCTAAATGCTTATAAATAGGTATCCTGCTTATTAAACAGACTATCTTTGGGATACCAATACTCCTTGGAGGTTCATAATCGTCCACGTCTTCGTCCTCATCAGGATCATCATCAGTGTTGATAAAATCGCTTACTTCTTCATAAAACAAGATGCCGGTCAGATATATGTAAGAATCTGTAGCGGGCAAGAACATGGACGTGTAGCTCACTTTATTCTGTACTACTTGAGGATCATCCAAGTCTTGGATTTTAAAATACTTCTTCTTAAATAATTGGGATGGAATTATGTCAAGAACTTGAGAAATAGGTGAATGATTTCGATCTAAAGCTGGGACCCTATCTAAGACTTTAAACTTCAGATTATCGAACACAAAATTCTTTGATCCAACATATTCATATTTCTGAGTAGTCTCATTCAAAGTGGGCGTCAATGAGGATCTCTTATTCTCCGTCAATATCTTATCTAAAAAGTTGTTTCCTTTATCTTCATATGCTTTTAGAAATCCTTCTAAGTTATCCATTGAGTACGAGAGGAAATAATCTACTAAGTTATTGTTGGTCTCAAGATATTTCTTCAATGTCCTCGAGTCATAATATTCTTGGTCACCCACAAATAGGTTTGCATCAGAGATATCATCCATTCCGCTTCCTGACAGAAGTTTGCCTAACTGGTTATCATTCTTCATCGAGGCTCTCTCTTCAAACTCGTCTGAACGTCGTTCCATTTTTAGTTTTATTTGATTACAATAACAAGTAGTATCATTGGGGTTTTGGGGTTTTGGGGTTTTGGGGTTTTGGGG